GGAAGCAGGGAGAGGGGAGAGAAGGCGGCGCCCAAGGCAGAGCCCGCCCCAGGGACCGGCCCCGCGGGCAAAGCCGGGCAGGGCAGGGCAGGGCAAGCAAGCCCAGCGCAGCCCCGACGGCCCCTCGCCCCGGCCCTGGCCCACCTGAAGCCAAGCCTGGGGCAAGGCCCAGCCCCGTGCTACAGACCTGCTCCGGCCCCTCCTGGGGCGGCTCTGCCCTGAGACGGCCCGGCTCCAGCCAGGCCCTGGGCACAGTCCCCAGGCTGGCTCTCCTGGGACAGGCCAGGCCTGGCGTGGCCTGGCCTCGCCTCGCCTCGCCTCAACGCTGCGAGGGCAGCTTCCCCCGAGGGGGCTCCGCCTCAGAAGCCCCAGCTCTCTCTCTCCTCCAGCAGAGCGCCGCCCCATTGGCTGGCGGTCACGATGCCTCTGGGCGTGGCCAATGGCGAGCGCCCTGGCACCTGTTGCTTGGCGACAGGGCCGGCAGCCCGAGCTGGGCCCTGGGCCTCCTGCCCGTCCGGGGCCAGGCTGCGCCGGCCGGCACTGCCCGTCCCGACACAGCCCCGACATGGGGGGAGTGGCATGGCGCAGGGCTGCAGGGAGGGCTGCGGCCATGCGCAGCTTGGGGCAGGAGTGGTGGGGCCCAGTCAATGGCAGCTTTGGTTGCCCCTCGGCTCTTTCCCCCGAGAGGAGCCTGTTCACTACAACAAGACAGGCACACGAGGCAGTCAAAAACCATGGTGTGGGTGTTGTAGAGGGAACCACGTCCACAAAGTCCTCCTCACTGTTGACTGGCAGCTGCACAGGACAGCGACGCCTTCACCCCACTGCAGTGAGAGAGGGGATTCAGCCAAGCCCTCTAACAGTCTTCCATGTCAGTATCAACAACATCCATGTTGACTCCCTGCAGCAAAAACATCAAGGAATAACTTGGAATAAACTTGGTAAAACTCCATGCTTGAGAGTCCAGAAATGTCTTCTTCCCTTGCTGTCCAGACACAACTTTGGTTCAGCACAGGCACAACACCTGCTGTGGGAACCACTAGGACAGTGTCTCCTTGATGCATTATTTAATAGACATAGTATTAACCAGTTAAAGTGTTAAGAGGAAAAAAACATATTCAGAAGCCATCTGTTATCTTTGTTGAGCTCTCTGAGATCTGCTGATTGTTCTCTGATTTTAACTCCAGAAAGCCTCCATACCCGCTCACCCGGTGTTCCCATAAACAGGCTTGTGGATGTTAGTCTCAGTCAAATTACAGATGGCTGATGGAAAACTGCTCCCAGCATCATGCCTGGGCTGGGGTCTCCAGTTCATTTTCATCTGAAACCATGCCCGTTTCTGAGGATCCCCCTTCAAGAAAGATAGATGCCAATTAGAAAGCATGCAGAGACTACAACTAGGAAGGATCAGGGTTTCAGGAAACATGGTCTCATAAGATTAATCATAGCATGAATGGACGACTTGCTTAAGGCCAGGAAGAGAAGGCAGAACAGAGCTGTGTTCGGGCCTTTAAATATGTAAAGGGATGCTGCAAATAAGGGAATTAACTTCTCCCCATGCTCCATGTTGAGGGAAAGCAGGAACATGCTTCAGATGAAGCAAAGGAAATGGATTTGAGGTGTTATGGAAAGAGAATTCAGAGGCAGCTTGAGGGAGGTCTGTAGTATCATGAGCTAGAAGGACAAATTAGAGTTTGCACCTCATAATGCAAGAACAGAGAGCTTACACATCTTAGCCATCTTATGAAAACAGATGGGTACCCTCTAAGGTGACAGCTGAAGAAAAGCACTTCTTATTCACTTCCTTTGAAGTACAGTGTTTCAAAATACTTTTTGGGGGTGGGGCGGGGGGGGGTAAAGATTTCACCAGTCTGTTTCTTTCAGAGCTAATAAGCAGATATTACAGGGTAATTTGATGCAAAGCCTACATGGTGAAATGTTATACTCTGCCTTTCGGAGGCAATTGGCATAGAGGGTCAGAATGTGCCTTTTATTATTTCACCAGTATATTTACAGAACAAACTATAGCCAGGGTGAGTGTAATCATAGGACTATCTCTAGACTCAGCCCACTAAGTTGTGGTGCATTCCTAACTCACTGAAAAAATATTGGGTAACTTAACATTTGAGGGTCTGCTGAGTGTCTGGGTAGTCTCATCTGTACCTCCAACAGAGTAGTTTTGATCAATATTCCAATATCCTGGAGTTACCAGTTATCCCTCCAGAAGAATAAAAAATATATCCTGCTGTTAAGGAAAGAATACAAGAACAGGAAAACACGCTTCAACAGAGATAACTTCAATCTACTAGTACAGAGCAGCTCAATTACGGCTTTGACTTTCCCAATGTGCTGCTTTGGTTGTACGTAATTTTTTTCAGTCCTGATGAATCAGCAATAAAACTTGATGTCTCATGCAAAACCAAGAATTACTTCTAAACTTGCTTTTGCAACTACATATCTGATAGGGAGCCTCCAGTGACAAAAAGCTATTTCTACTTTCAAAGTAGAGGCTAGTAGCTCCTGAAAGCAGCTTAAACAGCCATTCACAAAATAATGCTATGATACAGAATGCTTCAGCCTGAGGAAGGTTACGGTCACAGAAGTTATCAGACACTGTAAAAAACCACCAACTAGATTCTTTCTCTATGAAATAGCTTTAGCAAACAGTAAGCCACTGGCCAACACAAGCTGATGTTTTCCAAATTCAGAACGGTTGCCCTGGTGAATGTTTGTATTTTTGATATCTACAATTTTTGAGAGAAGCTTCTGATGCACAACTGGCAAAAGATGATCCTGCATCCAAAAGCAGCCCAATGCCAGTTTGCAGCAATGGCCATTTTAAGCGGAGAACATTTTGCCACCCAACTGAAAAGATTGACTGTATTTGGATGTCTATTTTCAACCATTATTGGGCACATGTTCACAGGGCAGCCAGAGCCGCACAAGAATGCTTCCCCTGCTCAATTTCAGGATTGTGTCCAAAAAAGTGCCAAATTCACATGGCTTCGGTCATCTGTCCTGAAACATACTAAAACTTTTTAACTTGCCTTCTTGAACGCTCAGGAAAGTTGTGAACACACTGAAGGCAAGATCTTCCAACAAAGTCTTAAGAAATCACAGAGACACGGTTACACGTTTTTCCCACAGTACATTACAAGTTTAATTGTGCAAAAATACAGTCATCAAGACTTCAGCTTTGTTGTGAACTGAACACAATTCCAGTGATGTACAGGCATGGAAAGAGGTACTACTGTAATTAGAGCAAATACACCGTAATTGTTGTTGAGACAACCAAGTGGTTCGATACAATGAGATCCTGTTCTCAAGTGATTTAGACAACCTGTATTTAAATACTGCACATCAAGAGAATCAAAGAAATGACACCTAAAAGGAAGCTAGTAGCAGACTAACAAAGTTTAAGACTGCACTAACTCAAAAGAACATTAAAAAATGGTTTAGACAGATTCCCCAGTGATGGCCAAGAATTAGTCTGTGATACTGCAGGTGTGAAGTGTAACTTCTCTTCATTCAACACTGTATATATTGTGTTTCAGCAAAACAAAAGGCTTTCCTAATGCCAATATTTCTTTCAAGCACAGGAAGATGAAGCATTAACAACCTTGTTGCAGAAGAAATACATGAGGAAAAAAAAAACCAACCCAGAGCTCAGTCCTCTGGCTCCACCACTTAATAAAACAAAAAAACCCCACCACCAAAATAATACATGTGGAAAAAGAAAGGCGTTGCCGAATCCCCTCGCCCCCATTAAAATCCTCCTGTAGTACCTACATCACTGAGGAAAAAAAAACAGTTTTCAAAGCAATTCCTCTTCTTGTGCATCCATGTTTTAACACAACCAGATCAGACATTCGTAATGCTGCTCCGTACAGCTACTTTTTGGTCTTAACAAATCTGTGTGCTTCTTGCAAAAGCGTTTCAACATCTTCATTATCCTTGTCTTCTGAACTTGGTTCCCAGTCAGAGTCTTCATCAGTAAGTTCACGCTCCTCTTCCTCATCATCTATAAAGCTGTCTTTAACGTCATATTCATTTGGTTCATCATCACTGGCACCATCTTTCTCCACAGCCCTTTTTCCTGTAGGGACAAAAATGTCATATATTCATGAATCATAAATACAGAACTAAAGAGACCTTCCAGAGACCATCTAGTTACTCTCTCTCCTCAAGAGGAGAAAGAATCAACTAAAGCACTCTACCCAATGCTGACAATTTGGGGTTTGATTTTTCAAGACTCTTATGACATCTCTCTCTGACCCCTACTGCAGCACTTACCAGTCTGATCACTTAGAAAGTTTTCCTTACTGGCTTTTCTTCCAGCACGTGGAAAACAGCATCAGGCCTCTTCTGAGAACATCTTCTGATACCAGAAGAAAAGACTATCAGATAATGTCTTCTGATAACTCTCCTTTCCTTATGGACTGGCACACACAATTTTCCTAGTTGTCTTCCTGCTACTTCTGTACCTAAACAATACATCTATCTTGCCATTTAGCCTCTAGGTATTGCTAGGCAGCTATTTTGACCCTGGATTTTCTGCCTTCATCCATCCCCACTTACTTAGGGCTATTTTATACTCATACCCTTTGGAATCTGACATGGCTTTTAATTTCCGTTCACTTCTTTCCTGAGCTTCAGGTGAGAGAATGGAATCTGCTAGATCACTTGCCTCCTACGTTCTCAGCTGGGATCCACACTGGGTAGTCTGTGCTTCTTTTCTAAACACAGGTTAAGGAAACAACGCTGAACACTTCTTTCCTGAGTTAGGGTGCAGCCTACCTGTTTCCCAGATCAGTCTATTCTATCATGCTGCTTTCTAATCTGCTGTCCATCCATCTTCTTCACAACTTATGTTTTGTGATCAAATTGCCTTCTGCCTTCATAGTATTTCACAATGCTCTGTATTGGCAGGAATCAAAGGCTCGGAAACCTCCATTTACAAGAAAAGGATGCTGTTTGCAGCATGTTCCTAAACTTTTTTAGACAGCTTGTTTTGCAATATGCTTTCAATTGCTCAAACATGTTGGCACATTTAAACCAAGTCCCAGAGGCAGGATACTTCTGCTATTTGAAGAAGCCATATTGAGTTGGTAGTGTCTGTACAAAGCTGCTGCCATGGCAGCATTGCCTTCTTTTATTTATCAGCAGCTGTGAACCTTCAACAAGTTTATTTCCACCACTTCCTGATTTTGGCAGGTGTGCCTTGCTTACATTGTCTCCCATTTTTCTTACATGTCCACAATTCCTAACTAGTCACACTCTGTTAATATTCCAATTGCATGCTATTCTGCCTTTAGGTCATACCTCTGAGTAAAACCGTGTTCATTCCCCTTCTTCCCAGCCTCCAATTTTTACATTCTTATCTCATCTAGAGATAAATTATCTGTACAAGATCATTGACAGGTTATCTGTTGAGCAATTCTTGTCATCATCTTTCATATGAAACTATAAACATGTACTTTTTTTTCTCAGCTACAGACCCCAGTCCAAATCATCAACATTTATATTAACCATAAGCATTTCTTAGCAACCTCTTGAAACCTCAGTTCAGAGCCCCAGGCACTCAAGCTATGCATGTGGTGAACAAAAGAGAACACCAGTACCTTATGTAGTCAGATCACATCCTCTATCAGTTACATTTTTCTACCAGTGGGAACGTTACTATTCCAGAATTATCTTATGGACTGATTAATATGTTATACTCCCTTGCAACTCGCACCCAAGATTTTCAAAAGCATTTACAGCATTAGTCAAGCTTCTCAAAAATACACAATTTTATGGGTGAATTGTGCTACAGAGGCACTGAATGACCTCCTAGAATAATGTCAGCCACGTGTGACACAGCCAATAACACAACCAAGAAATATCCTATAGCTAGCAATCTTTGAATTCTTTGCCTTACATAGCAATCTGTGTTCTTTGAAGGACTGACTGTGCACCACCTAGCAGAAAATCCTAAAAATGCCAACTGTCAATTTGAGCTGTAATCCACTATTATGCTTGCTAGTGTATTGCTTACCAGACTTCAGAGGAAATTAATCATGCCCATGTCTACCCATACCAGCAGAATATCTTATAAGAATCACAGACTATGGTCCTGCAGAATGAATTATGTCTTGGAGGGCAGAGGTCAAAACAAAGATGCTAAATACACTAAGAACAAAATCCCTCTTCTCTACTAAGCTTATGAGAACAATAAGCCCAAGACCTGGTTCGCAAATAAAAGCTCTTCTTCACTTTCACAGCACTGTGGGTGGTATTTTACAACGGAAGTAGGAATTCTGGCAAAATACTGATGACTTCCATATTTTTCCGACAAATGTATAAGGAGCATACTACATTTTTCCTCCCCGTACATCAATGCTTTTAGATTTCACGAGTGATTGATGCATTTCCTTCCATGTCTTCCCATGCCACATCTTTCCGCTATAGTTTAGTTCAGTCTCACAGCCCCTAAAGCTGCTCTTTAAGCACAATTCTGCCTTTTCCCTTGTACCGTATTTATAAAGATGACCATGAAACTTTCTCTGAAATACCTCCTTCATGTGGGGAGAAAAAGCTTGTTGACCACCCCTTTCAAAGAGTTGTATTTGGAAGTGAGCTTATGAGCTTGCTAGAAAACCTACAAAGCAGCGTGTAGGAAAATCCTGCATAGTGCATAGCCACAGCAGGTCATTCATCTAAGTAGCAACAATGTAGTGACCTCATTCAGTAGTGACGATTTAATGACAGTATAACTCTGACCTTTTTTTCTTCCTCCCTCACAACTATTCCTCCAGTAATTAGCTTTAGGTTATTTCTCAGAACATAGACCACATTCTCTACGGGCAATTTGTAATCCCTCTGGTAGCAATCAGACTATAAAATGTTAAAAACGAAATATGCCAAATGTCATGTAGATGGTACCCTTCTTTTCTTGGCTGGTAGAGTTTAAATACACCTGTACAGAAATTAATCCTGCTGTGCTTAACAGTGCAGTTATGCCAAACAGCAAGAAATAAAGGTTATCAGAGCCCTAACTGTCTGTGTGACCTTGCACGACTCAGTAAGACTGCCTTGGATACGAACTTGCTGAGCACAACCTTTTACAAGCTTTGCCCTCAAGAGAGTGAAGCAAGCCAGTCAAGAAGACATTGAGGGGGACGGGGATGGAAACCAGCAAATACAAACAGCACTTTAATTAATTAATTCCCTTCTTTGCCCTGTGCACAGAATATCAATTCTTCCCTGGTTCTTACTTAGTACGAAAGGTTGAATTTGACAGAATGAATTTCGCTTCCTTGTTTTATATGCTTACAAGAGAAGCACTTTTCCATCTGCAGTCATGCTTGGCTGACCACCTGCCATGAGCTGTACACACAGGATCTACCATTTGGGTAATGAAGGTGTTTTTATGAAAGGCATAGCTACAATTTAAAACCTTCAAGATTAGATTTAGATTTTACATATGTACACAGTCCAGCTTGTTTAATTATAAAATCTTAACCACTCACTGCTCTAACAATGCTGCTAACCATTGTCACCGCACTGTAATACGCTTTTTTACAAGGCAGCAGCGATCAAAATGGGGCTGGTACTTGCATCATGGGATGCAGCAAAGCATACAGGTAATAAATATGCCTCAGAATATGCTAGTGCACAGATACAACCATACTGAGCATTCAGTGATAGCAAAAGTGCACACATACATGATAAGGAAATAGGATGGGAAAGAAATTTCTCAGTGGAAAGTATAGAAGTAACCTCTTGCATCCACTCATAACAGAAATGGAGGCCAAAACACTTTGCCTAGAAAACTAACTACAGCTATTTGCACTTTTATTTATTTTCTTTAGAAAGCAGATCTATTTTGAGGATTTCTTTAGGAAATGCCCAGCCACACCTTGGTGATCTCAAGGAAGACAAGCCAGTTCCCACTTTCACTTTGAGATGCAGCAGTTCCACATCCTCATGCCTTGTTCAGGCCAGTGAAAGTGAAGACAGCGTATCATCAGACTTTCAGACTGCTCTTTAAAGCTCACTTTTAAATTATTTTAGAAAGAATAGGAAGCTTCACATCTGGAAGCTGAGACACAAAAGAAGCCTGGAGACAGACCTAAAGGATATTTAAAATTAGTAGTCTATGCACCCGCAACATAGAAGTTAACATTGTTGGCAGCAGCAAAGCAAGGTATGTGTACCATAAATGGAGGAGATATTCATACACAGTATTATAATTTACATTATCAAGAGAGACTACAGCTTGCCTGTGCTACTACATAATCCTCACTGGCAACTAGAAACTAAAGAAAGAAGTGGTTTACAGTGAAAACTGCCCCCAACTCAAAGGCATTAACCTTCTTTTACGCTTCAGTCCTAACAAGCCAGTATTTTACCTGAAACATCAATATCTCATAGTAAGTATAAGAAAAGCTCATCAGCACGTGCACAGATATCACTTGAAAGTTATTTAAAGGTCAATGCAATGCAGAAGGAGTATCTCAATGTTTCAAGAGTAATCAATCTTTACGGGGCAACCATAACTAGTTGTGGATGAAATACTGGATTGCTTTCATCACATTATGACACCTGTGTAAGGAAGGAAGAATCAATTTAGCCACATGTGTCTCTCCTTAAAACATTTGTTTGTTTTCTTGTCTGCTTCTAGGGAAGTACAGGTATGCTCATCCAGGAAGCCTGGCACAAAATCAATTTCAGCACTATTACTTGAAAAGAGCAAGCACGGTTTTACTAAAATAATGACTACTTTCTCCTCAGGTAAGTATTATCAAGTATCCCCAGCACTATCAAATGCCCCAAAACCAAAGCAGATCAGTTGCATCCCATGCTGATGTGCCCATTCATACGATTAGAACATACTCACCATTTTTTGAAGTTTGTTGTTGGGTTCCTCTTTCAGTTACTAAAGAATGGAAAGTTATTAGTCAGGACAGAGTATAACCTAGCCTAAGTGTTGTTCAATAGAGTTTGCTACAATAGAAGACTGATCTATTAAAATAAATGCTGCAATGGTTGTGCTGTAGTTACAAGTATAAAAACTACTCTGCTACCCACAAAACCCAAGCCCTTTTTTTGTATTGAATGATTCTTGAGAGATTACCCAGATGAACTGTTCTTACAATTATGAACCATGCCATTTGTAGACAAATGTCATCAATACTGGTTGGGTTTTTTTAAGCAGAAAATCGGTGTATTTCAAAGCATTTAAATATTTTACACCATTGTTTCCATAAATGCAATTTCTCCTTAATAATGTCATAACCCTGATTCTTTAAAATAAAATACATTATCATTACATTTCCATAACTGTTCTGCTCTGAAGTACTGTTTATTGCATTAGGATTTCAAGTGGAAAAAATCTCCAAGTCCAATAAGCAAGAAAAAGCACCAAAAAATGAAAACTATCTCATTGAATTCTTTAAAAAACAGACCAAATGCAAACAGTACATTCCCCTGTGTTTTTCAACAAGTGTAGTTACTGAAATATAAAAAGGCTAGAAAATTTCATAATAGAAACTCAGATTCAGTTTTAATTAAATTCCCTCCAAGCCCCAAGAGAACATACATGCAAAAATTTGTTTTCTTAGTAAGAAAATCACTGGTCCAAAAAAAAAAATTTAAAATAAAATAAAATAAGATGACAGACATGCTTCCAATGTTTTTTTAGAGCATCACAAGACTTTAAAATTGTTACTTGAGGATTTTCTATCAAAAGGAAAATAAGATTAAAAAGTAAGTATGAAATCTTAAGATATTAATCTATACAGTTAAAATAAAATATTTCTGTGTACACATTTTGCTACATGGATGGGAGAAAAGCTATAGAAATAATTTACTGCAGCATCCATTTGAAATGTTGAGAAATACTTCAGTAACACCTAAGTATATTCCTCGTCTTCATTGTAATGCTCCAGCTCTGAATGGGGGAAGTAAAATACAGAGATCCAGTAATATCACACTATACCATGTTTAATTTTCAATAAAACCTATTAAACTCATTAAAATAGCCACTTGCCACACAGCACTTTTGTCAATATATAAGAAACAAAGCATGGAAACTACGTCAATTGTGTCTGACCCAGCCCATGTCACTTCAGTTGAAAAACATTTGAAAAAGTCTGCAGTGGCCAAGCAACCCTCCTTATCACAGTCAAGGGCAAGACTTCAAGCTTAAGAAAAGCAAGGGTGCAGGGCAATACAGCGTAAGCTGCAGATGCTTCACAGTAGCTAAAAGCATTTTAGTCCGAATTTTTGGTATCCATTATGAGTTTTGGGGGTTCCCCCCCTCCCACTTTAAGCTATATTGAACAACTCTGCTTACCTGGAGGTGCACTGTGCTTGTATTCTAGCTTGTGCTGTGGATTCTTCCTGCAAAGAAAAAAAAACAGTAAAAGCTTGATTCGCTGCCTTGTCCCACAGTTAACAAGCCCAGAACTCCTTTATATTTTATGGCTAATTTTCTTTTTTTTTTTTAAATAAAATTCTGTGACCAGTGCCTTACCGCAGTGTCTCAGCTTATAGAATGTAGGGTGGAAAAAAAATCAGGTTAAATAAGAGGTCCTCTTGTTTCAGCATTTAAAAAAAATAATAGATGGCTCATGAAAACCAAGAGATGAGGTAAGTTTCCAAAGTTGTATGATAAGATGCATTTGTTCAGCATAATAAGAAGTGATCCAGTTACTTACTTTCGCTAAAAATGAAACCAGAGCATAACTTCTGGTACATTAAGTACAATGCATGCACAGTGTATCACTAGGTCTGAGACATCCAGGCATAGCTTCCATATTCTGTAACATAAGGCTACAACTTAAATAGTTTGGGAAAATTAAAGAATTTTGAAAGAACTGCTTGTCTCGAAGGATGACAGGGAGAAGCCACAGAAGGATTCTTCAGAGACATTACTCACTTCTGCAGTATGCAAATCCAGCAAGTTCAACATACAAGTTTGTATGTCTTCTATAAAAAAATAGCATCAAAGCAATGAAAGAAAACTTAAAGTCAACATACTCTTGGATCTGCAATATATGTTCCCCTCATTCAGGCTGTGATCCAGGTCATTAACACACTGATTTATCCTCCCCCAAACAATTATCCAATGCTGCTCTAATGTTTTAACTTGGTGCAACTTACATTGTGCTAACCTGTTGTGTTAGTATATTATGCAGCCCTGAGAAAAGCCTCTATTAAAATAGTTTCAATTAGATTTATTTTTATGCAGGAAATTTTTAAAAAATTCTAACTTTGGAAGAAAACGAGTTCAGTTGTCCTAATTTCTGCTTCTGAAAATAAGCAACAGTTAAAGGCCACTATTTAAGAATGACATACCATCTTACATTGCTTGAAACTTGAGATCAATTTCTGCAACTGCAGAAGTTTTTGTGTATTTTACAAAATACCTTTGCTGTGAAGACTGCCTTGTAAAATCAGTTATTTATGTTTTCTTATTCTTCAAAGAACAGAGTAATAGTCTTCAGTAGAAAAATCTTATTTTTATGTCAAATAACTTGTGACAAATTCACACACTTCAAGTTGATTTACAATTCTATAGCTACTGCTACCCCAAAGTACATTATGTGTGCATTAGAAGTGATAGTTATCTGAATAAAAAATGGAAATACAGCTTTCTTTTAAATACACTGTACTGAAACAAAAAGAATTGCCTACTTCACTGTTTTACTACTATCGTCAGCATCAGACCATTTGATCCCAGCTCAAGGCACAGCATTTAGACCACTCCATTACGCTCCCTTCAAGTAGTAGCCAACAGTTAAAGACAACAAAAATAACAAGAAAACCCTTCAAATTGCATCTGTTGCTTCACTGAAAGCATTATTATCGATTCATGGGTGCCTCCTTTCCTCTACCCCCAAAGAACAAACACAGATTAAGAAATGATCAAGCAATACAGCACAGAAGTTGTCTTATATGGAAGGAGAGAGAGTTCTGGTTTTGGATAAAGCATCCATTGTACTCTTGAAAAGTATGTTGGCAATTTCATTACCGGTATAAACCCAGATTTCTCATCCTGAGACAAGAAATTAATCTCATAGATGTTTTTCAGAAAAGAAACACTTCTTCTGCATTAGCTGAATATAACATGGCTTTTTCTTAAAAGCTACCCTCATTTTGTTACATTTCATAGAGAACATGCCTTCAGGATCACCACACTTTCCAGCAGAGAGAGGACAAAATATTTCTGCTCAAGCACCATCTTTATTAACAGCAGCTGTTAGTTTCAATATACCCCCACAGAAGTGGTATTGCCTCAAAATATATCCTTTTGTCCATTGTGTCAATTACACAGCAGTCATTAAACTCTGCTAAATAAAAGTCTAAAACGTAGACATTGAGAAACAAAATGGAATAAAACTATCTTTTGAAGAAAATCAACAGTGCTTAAAAGAAACTGTACCAGTGAGCCATAAACTGGATTTTATTGCTGTTACTTAAATTACGCTTTCTAACAAATCAAATACTGATTAAAATAGAGGGTTTGTATAAATTCTCAACAAATACTTTATCAAAATTTAAACTAAGAGTTACCTATCAAGAACAACATGTAACAATAAATTATTGTTTACATAAAAGAACGGTTTACTACGTATTGACAAGTGAAAAAGTATTGATCTCTAGGTCACTGAATAGGTTCCAAAAGTCAAGTTTTCATGTTCGTCAGCTGAAATCACTAACAAAGATTTTGCACAGACTTTGGTGCTTTAAAGGTAGCAGTTTGTCCACAGTAAATGTCAGAAGGCTACAGTCAAGATTTAACACGAAGAACTACTCATTATTCTATTGTCAATTTGCAACTCCAATGAAGAACATTCTTAACCTGTAAAACAAGAAAAGCCATTTTATCCAGGGTTTCTTACCTATAACAAGCTGTTCCATACGGACATTCAGGCCGGTTATCATTGTTATCCTGAGTTACGATCACTGTTTCTTGATAGTCATCATCATTAGGGTGACTGAACTGCTGAAAGTGAATGGGATTCTTCCTGCAAAAGACAAATATATACCGAGAACTGACTGTTCCATTTAAACATGAGAAGTGGAAATAAGAAAGGTGTTACTGAATCAGTGACAACTCGTTTTTCTGTGGTTACATAAAGAGGAGCTTTTAATGTTTTACTTTATGCAGAATGTAAGATATGTAAGACCTACTTTCAGGACAACAGAAAAAAAAGTTCTGTCTCACTGCATGCTGCAAAAGAGGTTAAAACAGAAATTTTCCTATTTGCCATCAGCTTTAAGTTTCAGACCTCCAACAGTACACAATCTACTGATGTAGTCATATAGCATGAATCTTACTGAGTGGTCGATTTGCTCAGTTATGACTCCCTCTGGAGCTATCAAAGTGCTAAAGAAACCACTACTGAAGTCTTAGCTCAAGCTGGAAGGTCCAATGCATGGCAGCTGAACAACTGCAGTATTAAAGACTTCCCACACCCTCAGGTGATCGCCTATTAGCTTCAGGCAATATGTCTCAATTATTATTTCTGTTCTGCATGCAAGTTACTGTTTACTTGAATACTTCAAATGCCAGCATATTATTCCAGATGGAGCAGTCTACTGGACATTACGTTGATTCTGCTGTCAAGTTTGCCTTGGCTACCATGACATTTTATTTGAAATATCAAATTACAGCAATGACATGAAGTTGTACCACAAGACGTAACAACTCCGTATGTAGCTGAGTCACACCAATGTTAGTGATGAGACCACATTACTAGCATCCATGACTTTTTGCTCTACAACACTTACACAGTTGAATCCAAGGTGAGCAAGTAGTGAATACAAATATGTGCATCATTGAAAGAACATTTCTACTGCTTCTAGACAATAGGTTTGCATACATACCACACAAGACAAGTCAGCTATGAACAATATCACTTAGAGAAGAGTTTGCTTTATAAAACTTCCGTAAGTGACATTAAAAAGAACACAGAAAAATACGTTATGACTTCAGGAGAAATTCATGACAGATGAAAACACACTACAAAAAATTATGTCAAAGTGAACATACTGGTACCAAAAGCAAATCTACTTTTTCCTATGATTTCTTTTAGGGACACTTTTTTCCAAGCATAATATTTAAAAGCAAGAAATGTGAGATATCTTAATAAATGATTTTCCAAAAGACATCAGCAAAATACTTCAGCGATGTACCACACTAATTCCCAGAGTACATAATCTTCAATGTGTTTGTGCAGATTATAAAAGTGAACTGCTTGCCTCGAGCAAGAGGAACGACAACTTTAAAGTACAGAGTAATTACTGCTTGAATTTACACTTGTTCCAGCTGCATTTAGAAACACAAAGCCAGAAACATGTTTTGTATGTAGCTAGCTACATAGCTAGCTACATACAAAACAGCTTCCTCATTGATCACAGGCATTCTTTCCTTTAAATTCACAACTACCTCTTATGAACTTTACAGGGAACAGTCAATATTAATTTCAGCTACCGCCATAAGAAAAAAGCTTTCATTACAGCTTTTGCAAAATGATCACTTAAGCGCTGTGAGCTCTACTAGCTACCCAGGCCTCCTTGCAGGCATTTAAAAAAGATTAGGTATTTAGTATTAATACTTTAAATCTCCATTTGCCTGGTATCTTTCAGTCAGGAAACTCAGCAAGAAAGCTACAGATAAACTCTTCAATGAACTACTTATCAAAGATCCAGTGTCCCTTCCATCTATTTACATAGGTGACAGACTTCTTGTCCTGGTCTTTTCTGCTAATTTCTGCAAACTGTACAGTACGTAAATACTGTTTCACTAGAAATCATTGCAAGGTTACATTTAACAGTCTTTTATTCTATGACAAGTTCTCAGGAAACATTGCTTGTTATGCCAAATTCAGACTGGCTGCCTACTTCTTTTTCCATTTAAAAATAAATGTGATGAAACAAAGTCATTTTAGAGGCTACTTGCTTTGTTTTCTAAAGGCACTGAGCTAACCTACCAGCAATATTAGCAAGAATTTTCAGGCACTTGAAGCAATTTATCTTCTCAAAGGAATAGAGAAGCAACCAATGTTCTATGAAACCATTTTAATATTTATTCCTACAATAAGATACATGTAGCATCATAGTCAAGGAAAGAAGGCCTAATAGCTGTTGATTAGCCAACCTATTGGATTTTAGGAGATACCCATTTCCTTTCAAAAATTCACTTTGAAACCTACTTGAACACCACCAAACAGCCCTTATTGGAGGAGACACAAAAAAAAAAAAAAGAAAAAGAAGAATAAAGTAGTATGGGAAGAAGGAGGAAGAGAAACAAAAGGGCCTTGATGTATGCTACCTATCACTAGGCTTCAGGATTCTTTGGGCCAGTGGATGACGCTCCTCAAATTATACATTACCTGTGAAGCACCTTGAACATGTCCTACTTCAGATGCTCAGGACTAGTAGAAACATTGTATTGTATCTTACCTTTACCTGGATAATTTGTACTTATTCCACTTCTATCTGTTGTGCAACAATACCAAGCAAAATAAATAGAAGCGGAGAAGTGAATAGCTTATATTAAGCAAACATTTTCCCTTCTTGCAAAAATCTAAAGCTTCTTCCTTTTATTAAGGGTTTGGTTTGTTTGGGTTTTTTTTAATTTTTTTTTAGACCCAAGAGATTTGAGTTGTAAGAGCACAACATCTATCATGCTCCAAGTTGCACTCCAAAGTTAGTTAGTTTCACAACAAAACCTCACTGCACAGGAATATGTTATTCATTCGATCAAAACAAAACCATGAAGCTTTACTCACACAAAAATTAACCAATTAAAAGCCTATTTTAAGAATAAAGTTTTATGGGAGATTTGCTTTCTCGTAAACATACAGTTACTGCAACTTTGCTTTCACAGAAGCTCTGAATTTGTGTACTCACACTTCAAGATGCAGAAACCTACGCAAATAAAACTGCTGAAGTTCTTCAGAATCAATGCAATCATCTCAAGCAGAAGTTGAGTATTGCTCAGTGAAATATTTAAGACAGTTTTTTGTCTGCGCAACTACCAAAAGCAACTTAAAAGCTTTTTCTAAAGCAAGTTTAACTGATTAGGTCAGAAACCCTGGCTCTTCATAATCACACCCAGAAAAGACCCCTGCCATTTCAAGCGCTTATTTTCTCCGCTACTGAAGTAGTGAAGTTGTCATATATTACCAGCACTAGTTATAAAGCCATAGAATTGAAGCCTGAAGTTATGCCACAACTGCGCGTAAGATGTTTCTAAGTTCTAAATTGTAAGTCTTATTAGAATACAGGACTTAAAAAAAGACAGATGCAGGTCCTCAGCTGCCAGATTTACAAGCTTAAGGTGAAATGAAAAACAATTATTTTCATAAACAAACAAACAAAGTGCAAAGTATTTAGAAGAACGCATATACAGATCCAAAGGTTGGTTGCACGTGACTGCACTGACAGTTATAGGAAAGATTTACATGCACCCAGTCTGCAGAGAACTGTATTGCAGGCCAGCAAAAGGACAGAATTGTGGACAAAAATTGTGAGTTACAGTTTTAGAGATGACAGTTCAGGTCTATCACACCCCTTCTACGCAGCCCTTGAAAGAGGGGGGTTGGGTTTGGATTTATTTTTAATGCCCTATTCTTCTAACTTTGGAAAAACAAGCAGCAGACAAGAAAATTAACACAAGACAGTATTGAAAGAGTAAGTTCCTTGACAACAAATACAGTCAGATATAACATACACAGAGCACTTTGCCTCCTAGTGGTAATAGCAGTTTCAATTTGGTAAAGCTTCAGGCTAGCTCAGAAAGAGAATCTGACACTGAAGGATGATGACAAGAAGAATCCCTGGAGCAAGAGATGCACATCAAGCTTGAGTCTTTCAAAAGCAGTTTTTTCAAATTCATAAATTAAGAAACTAAACTATAGGTTACAAAGTCATTTCCTAAATGTTTAAGGTACATGTTAGAGAAATCTAATAAAATTAATAGAACTAACATTTAATCTTTTCAATTTGTGCTATTTTACTAGGCACCTACCAAAGGTGCCTAAGTAATATCCAGAAGAGAAGTACCTCTTAATAGGAGTTTACAAAATAAAGACTAGAACTCTGAAGAGCATTTAGTTATTGAACAAATGCCATTTTATGAATAAGAAACCTCACCTAGAAAAAAACTTTAAGGAACTGTTATGGTTACCAAAGCAGTACTCATTTAAGATGTTGACTCCTACAGCACATCTTGTTAGAGGACACCATTCATAAGGTTAAAGTAATCAAGGAGAGGGAAACCAACTACCCATTGTACTCAAAAGAGCATTCAAAGCAACTCCTCTTCCTTAGCAACTCTAAAAACTAGTTTTTACTCAAGGAAAACACCACACAATGAAAGACTGAATACGCTACTGTGCTGGTTTTGGCTGGGATAGAGTTAATTTTCTTCATAGTAGCTGGTATGGGGCTGTGTTTTGGACTGGTGCCGGAAACAGTGTCAATAATTCAGGGATGTTTTCGCTGTTGCTGAGCAGTGCTTACACAGAGTCAGGGCCTTTTCTGCCTCTTGCACCATCTCACCAGTGAGGAGGCTGGGGGTGCACAAGAAGTTGGGAGCAGACACAGCTGGGACAGCTGACCCCAGCTGACCAAGGGATATTCCAGACCATACAATGTCATGCTCAATATATAAAGCTGGGGGAAGGAGGAGGAAGGGGGGGATGTTCACAGTGATGGCATTTGTCTTCCCAAGTAACCGTTACGCATGGTGGAGCCCTGCTTTCCTGAAGATGGCTGAACACCTGCCTGCCGATGGGAAGTAGTGAATGAATTCTTTGTTTTGCTTTGTTCGCGCACAGGGCTTTTGCTTTACCTATTAAACTGTCTTTATCTCAATCATGATTTTTCTCACTTTTACCCTTGTGATTCTCTCCCCCATCCCACCGGAGGGGAGTGAGCAAGTGGCTGTGTGGTGCTTAGTTGCCAGCTGGGGTTAAACCATGACAGCTATCAGTGTGTTCCTTCAAGGCATCCATTCACGTTGCACTTACATACGTGTTCTGTTAAAAATATGGGTAACTGCAATGACTTGCTTTAATCTAACATCGCTATCCCATTGATCCAGAAAGACTACTTGGTAGTATTTGCTTTTAATGCAAGACCAAGAAAGACTACAAAGCATATTTCTTTTGCTGGAAACAAGCAGGTTTAGTATCATGACATTTCTGGCAGATCAAAGCTGATGTTTTTGATACTTCATATTTACAAACTTCTCCAATAGAAGATTTTATGTGTTATTCCAAAGCATTCTTTTTTTCTTACAAAGCAATACTTTCCAAAATTATTGCTGCCAAAAGTTTTAGAATAATAACCCAAGAACAAATGTGCACAGACAGACTCCAATTCCATATTACCTGTAACTAAAATTTGCCTTCCTAAACATTAGGAATCCTTCAGCATATTAGACAAGCTAATTCATTAGAATCAGCTTAACCCCCATACAGGGGAAAACTTGTCTTAGCAAAATTAAAAGTAGCTGGAGCAAACTAAAGGCTGCATTTGTCCTACTGGATCAGCTTAACTGCCTAATAAAACATGTTTACATCATATTCATTAAGGGCAAAATTTGAGATATGTAGAAAAAAAGCTACACGAAAGCTAGAAATCTGATGTGTTTGTTAACTTAACAGCTTTACACTTTTGATTTACACATCAAACATAAACAAGAATCCGTTTACTTGTGCTTGCTTGTTTTCTAAACCACCTCACTGTTTTTCTTATTATTCAAGTCCATTGCGGGAAAAAAGAGGGGGGGGAAATCCCATTTCCTGGCTTAGCCTTATCTTTTGTGCTTACAGTGTACACGTATTTATCTAGAGCTCAAATCCTTCTCAGAAATGCAGTCCTCAGGTCATTGGTCATTTCCTAGCCTCAAGACCACCTCTAGATTTGTACTTTCCCTTTGATACATCAACACATGTTAACTCCAGATCTTTTCTGGGCAGAAAGAACTGACAGGAGGCCAGGCACTCAGGACAGGTGTTTTGGAAGTTCGCTGGAACATTTGTATTGCACAAAATGTTTATATGACAGATCTTTCACTGTGAAGGGTGAGGACATGGGGGGGTGTGGGGTGGGGGTTGTTCTTCACTTGAAGTATTACCAAAGACACTGACAAGGTAAGGGTTAACACAGGAGTTTGTAAGTATGCTTTGTTCTGGTTTTAGGGAGGGACTGAAAGCATTAAAAAAAATTAAAAAGGCAGACTGGCCAATTTATAATAAAAGTAGTTCTTGATTATTTAGGGATGACAAATAGTAAGTATTTTAAATATTCAGATCACTAAGCATGCAATAACTTCAATAAATACAATCATCTTTCATAAAAGTTTCATCTAATAATAAAAAAGCCTACAGGGTATATGTTGGGCATTTCAACCATTTACATCCCTTCTCCCTGCTGGTACATGTACTGTACACAAAGGTTTTTTGTTTCTTTTATTTTTAAATTTTTTTATTTTTTTCTTTGTTTCTTATTTCCTACAACACTTCATCTTTTAATTTGCTGAAATACATCATACCTTGTTTGGGTTATATTAGCAATTAGCAAGACATCCTGGGTCCTCCTGTTACAGTCTTAAAATTCTTGTTATGCCATTTGCTTCTAATCAGTCCCCTGCTTACCAAAAGATTTTTTTTCTCAAATCAAAGCTTGTAACGACTTTACTGTTTTCTCTTCCATAGCTAATACATTACTTCTTAATAATAAGCTATCTTAAGCTAGTTTTAATTTTGCTTTACCTGTAACAGCCTTTTCCATACATGCAAGGTGTCCTCTTATGCTTGATCTGTCTGGAGCTTTCTGAAGCATCTGCACTTCTGGTTGAATCAGAAATCTCAGTCTCGTAATCCAGATCTGCATCAGGCTCAAGAACCCCTTCCTGGGCACCAAAATATTGGGAAGTCCTGCCCCAGTGAGCTTGTTGGCTTGTAGAACCAGTAATCTGCTCTTTGTTTTCCGTTTCCTCACTTATATTTGTTTTACTGGAGATCTGACCTATTCTTTTAGACCATTTACTATGCAGCTGCCTATCATTTTTTTCCAGAGAACTTCCAAGGTTTTTTGTTCCAGTCTTGCCATTTCCTTCCATGTTTCCAAATCCAGATGTATTCTGTGGAACAAGGTTACATTTTGAAGGACCTGAATATTTACACTCTTCAGAATTAAAAAGCTTTAAGGTCAAACTCTGCCTCATCTCATCATTCTGGTTTTCAAAATCAAAGAATCATAGAACAGCCCAGGTTGGAAGGGACCTCGAAAGATCATCTGGTCCAGCCTTTAAAATCTTCTACTCCACCTTCCAAACTCAAGTTAGCTGCTAGATACAGCTGCTGAATAAAATGTTCAAGGTAAGAACACACACACAGAGACAATTTAAAGAAAAACTTATCCTAGAGCTCTGTCCTCAGCTTCAGTTCCCTCACAACACAGTCAGGCTCCTCTCTCACCACCTCAGTTTGTGAATAGTCCGAGGACTTTAGCTTAAATTAACTTTCAATTAAAAGTACTGCTCCTGAAAAAATGAATGGAAGTTATACATGTGAAGATATAGTAGACTCTAGAAGAAATATATTTATCTATATATGGGAATTCATGATATATACCTTGAGCTTAATCCCACCCCAATACGTCTTAAATGCTTCAGCTCATGACTCTAAATCATAAAACAGTATATCAGTAGATACCATCAGGCAAAGATTTCACTTTTGATAAATACTGCATTTTAAATTTTGGAACATATGTATATTTAAAGTAAGAGATGTGTACTTTAGAAAAATAATACAAGATACATAACCAAGACAGGAACATTGTCCCAGCAACCAAGACATTACCTGGAAGCATATCTATATTGAAGGTTGAACCTGATACACTACAGAACTATTCAAAGGTCACTGCTCTCTACAGTTTATTATCTAAGTTCCCCCTCCAGTAAATTTATACTTAGTTTACAGGGATGTGTTTGGCAAAGCTTGAAAATCCTATTTGTGGTTTCCTATTTGATTTTGTTCCTTTCGATGTGAGTCTAACAAATTGTTAGCCAAAACCAGAGACAATTACATTTGAGCAGCAATGTGATTAAGAAAGGGAAAAGTCAGCATTAATATCAAATGATCCTGACAGCAGCATATTTAGCAAGCCAACTTGGACATGGAGATGACTCTTCTATTGAGACTCCCAAAATAAAGCTCCTTTAAGGAAATAAGCATTCCCAGAAAGGTTAAATTACTTTTTCTAATTAATTTGCCACTCCCACTTGTGACTTCTCTCTACTACATACTTCAATCCATTGCCTATATTGTATCTAATGAGAGTAAATACTTTCAGTTTTATTATGGCGACCAGTTAAAAAACAGGTGCAATCAAGGAAAACCAAAGACAACAGCTCTATTGGCACTGGTTATAATATGTATATGACCTCACCGCCATCTGGCGGCTGCTGGTGCTTAGAAGAATTAAGATTCTTTTTACTTCCTACCCTACAGCAGTTTTTCTCAATTGCCTTAAATATGACAGCAGGAGAGTGATTTTGGTTTTGATATAAAAATTCCAATCTTTTAGAGCTCTCCAATTATTACTTTTGCTTGCACTAACCCATTTTTTTTCTACAAAGCTCTGAAGGCAATTTCTTATGCTGTGTTTGAGATAAAAATTATTTATGAAATTATTAGAAAATAGGTAAGGCTTCATACTTACAAATTGCAAAATGAAATAATTCATTATGTAGTCACTCACCTTATAATGTGACAATGAGAAAACAGCACTGCAGCTGGTATTAATGTACCTATCCACCACAAAGCTCACCATTTTTCAGATTAAAAGATAACACTGTTACATCAAAACTACCCTGAAGGGTACGCTCTCCATGAGTAGATCATTTCAATTAACCTTAAGATTTAATTAAAAAACAAAACCAACCCCCAACTGTTTTCAGTGTCAAAACCAATGAAGCATACCAAATAATAGTATTTTAAGTGTTTTATCAGATCCTATAACAGATCCAGGCAATTCTAATGCTAGGGGTTAGAAACACCTCACCAGGCTGTGCACCTAAAGAAAAAGTCAGTAAAAGCCTCAGTTTGCTCTCATCAGAATACGTTTCGTTTGTCTTTGATAATGATACTTCTCTTTTCATTACTAACAGGGCGCTATCAGTATGTATTTCACTGCCTATAAAAGCAGTTGTACTTTGGGGACACATTGACCAGCTGGACTGCCACTGCCACAAACTGTTTTGGATTTCAGATTACTTTTTTTTTTTCCTTTCCTTTTTTTGACTCAAATTTTGAGATAGTGGCATAAGCATGCTCCCTGCTATTTTTCTTCATAACTTAACAGTTGTTAAACTACATACCATAATTTTCTGACCACAAAACTTCACCAACTAGAATGGCACTACTTTGGGCAAAATCCAATGTTGAATTACGTCAGTGTCATGCCATCACCTATCCCTAAAGGGTTCTCAGAAAAAGAAACCACAAACCAAGCCACTCCTAGGACCAGTACTTTGGCCCATGTCTTCCAGCCTCTTGCTGTAAAGCTGGAAGTCTAGTATTTCTGTGGACCATTTGGGGCCTAAACCCCAGATCCCAAGAAGGAAATGCAGAAAACCAAGTCTCTGAAGGCTTCCAGGATCCTTGCTATAGAGCTATCCAATGGACTGGCATTTCAAAACAACTGTTAAACAACAATGCACAAGCAGAACATATACTTACGAGGTAGACCCAACCTTCAACATGACATTACCAACTACGTTCTCATTTTTTTAAATACCATGGTTCTGCCCTGAGCCAAAAAATTACCTGAGATGAAGGGACAGGGATGGAAAGACAGCTCCTTTTCCCTTGATCTTGCTCTTCACCTTCAAAAGTTTCTTCAGAGGCTAATCTTTTTTTCTGCTGCACATTTACTTCTGATTTCAATGACTCCATATTACTTTCTCCCCTTCCTTGGCCTTTTTTCATTCTACTACCTTAAAAGAAAAATAAAAGGGTACCTTTCGAATGCAACTTTTACAGTGAAATCCTGGCCACATTAGACATCTAAAGCTAGATTGAAGGGGAACACTGGGCAACAACCATGAGAAATAGCAGCAGTTGTGCATGCGCTGTTTCAACAGCACGTTTTTCACTTCCTGCTTATAGGAGTAAAAAGTATGTTTTAGAATGAAACAGATGCTTGAGGGGGCAATTTGGAGGAAAACAATAAACATGTGGCAAAGAATATTCTGGACTGACTGCATCAGTATGACTGACAACTTCATTCACACAATATGAGCTGATCAAGTAAACCACATGTCCAAGGACGACGACTGTTACCACAGACCTTTCATGTAAGTATCACTTCAAACTACCAGTTTATATACACAAACATCAATTAGGACATGGCAGAATCAGGGTATGCCCACTTGCCTAGTCAACCACATCACAGTTGATTATTTCATCAGCCAGTAACCAACAGAAAGACAGTGAATGTTGTGCCTCTCTTTGGAAAGGTTCACATCTCAGAAAACCAAAAGATCTCTGTACTGAAGTAGTATTTTCTGGACATACAGCTGGGAGACAGCTAGGGCCATTGTCCTGGTTTTGTTATAGCTCCATCTGCTGCAAAATGCATTCAGAAGGAAGATACTTGATGCCATTTTGCAAGACTTCAAAAACTCTCCCCCTTCAAAAAATACTGATGTGCTGGAGTTATGTGTATGAAGCAAGGAGTTTTTCCAAATTTTAACATCTGACTTCAAAACCTCTAATCAGTGTTAACCTTTTCAATAGGAAGACAGACAGAAAAAAATAAAAGGGCAGCCTTCCCATTCAATACCACCCTGAAGAGATGCAAACCATTTCACAATTTTAAGGAAATATTTTAGACTTCCAGAAAAGATTGGTTGTTTTATTAAAGCAGCCCATTCTAAGCTGGAATCATTATCTCACATAATGACTTTTTTTAAACAGCTCCAATAGTGTTCGTATGTATCCCCAGCTCCCTCAAGGTCAGGCCTTCAGCTGCACACAGATACCCCTTGCCCACACAGCTCCAAATCTCAACGCTTACGTTTATGTTCAGTCTTTGAAACGAACATTATATACACATGTACAACAAACATTATAGTACTTGTGGAGAAACAAACGTAAGAAAATAATCACACTAGTGCACAACTCAACATAGCCAGCGGAAGTCTTCCGATACATGCAATTTTTAATCCGCGTGAATAAGCCAGCAGTGAATAGAGGAAGGGAGGAAAAAAAAAAAGAAATAAAAAAAGTATAGTTTCTTTTGCTTCTTACAATTTTCTCAAAATCAGCTTCAGGCAGGGTAGCCAATGGCACAGGACAGAGGTGTTTAAAGCCACAATTGCCCAGGTGAAATCCATCCAGACACCTGCATTTACTACAGCAGGTAAGAAGCAATTGGTCAGACACTGCATGAAATACTTCTGCAGGCCTCCTCAGGCATCAAGAGCCAAATGTTTTCATTACACCATCTCAGCAGGAATAGCAGGTGGAAAGAGAGGCATTAAAGAATAGGTGTTGGACACAGAGGAGCAGACATGCACACACCAGCCACAGTTCATACACTTAGACTTAATGAAGGAAACTCAGCAGTTAGCACCTAAACCACCTCACATCTTGCCAAAGAACGGCAAGCAGGGTGGGGCTTGGTGTCTTCAGCACAGAGAAAGATAGAAACGCTGGGGCACTGTTGTTAATGTACATAGTCATTTTCCTTCTCTTCTCTCATTTCTTTAGTCCTCTGGTTCCATTGATAAAAGTCATCAGAGCAATAAATACCCTGTGATAAGTTTGTCAGAGAATGTCTAATGGCAGTTTTAGAAGCCTTTACAAGCTCCCAGGACCAAAGCCAGACATGCTAGAAAAATCATCTTGGGATTGTGCCAATGCAGCACCCTTGTGTCTCCTGTTGATAGTGACTAAACACAGTATTCTGCTGCAGTTACTGCTAATACACAGCAGTAAAAGTTTATCATACATTCAGCAATTTCCTTTTGCAGGAAGGACAAAAGGGAATGCAATAATATTTTAGCCTCACATTAGTAAGAAATTACTATGCTGCAATGAAATGCTCCTCCTAGGAAGTAACTTTGGACTAAGTCATCAAGTTTGATTTAGTCACAGTTAAAAAACTAACACACACCACCACTCAAAAAAACCTACCTTTAAAACCTGTGAAATTAGAAGAATCTAATTTAGAAGAGCATACAACAGTGACTTAAATGTGGAGAAGGCTTGGAATTAAAAGTACAGAAACTACCTAGAATTTACATGCCAAACAAAACAGGCAAGTTTATAGGGAAGGGCTCCAGAACAGAAAGAAAATCAACTGATCAAAGAGCACTGTCACACCCATAGACAAAGTAGACAACAGAAGTCAGTCTCTGTCAGCTGCCAGGCACAGAACGTGGAAAGGGAAGTAACAAATTAATACTTTCCACCACCACCATTATAATTTAAGAAAATTATATCAAAGCACATAAATGTACATTGGTATGCAAACATACTACACTGCAAACCTACCTCCTTTCATTACAGGCTCATAAATCCTCTGAACCAGGAGATCTCTTTCCAGCATCCAAGATGGAAGCACTCTCTTTCTTTGAATAGATTTTGACTGTTCACTTTCATTGCCATCAGAAGGAGGAACCTGAAACAGTATTTAGTGTTTAGTACTTCAGTTACAGAAGGGGTGGAAAAACTAGAACACAAGTTTGTACAGAGTTACGTCCTTCAAACGCAGCCTGGATTACCACCCATCTTCTGGATGGTGCCCATTGTCTGAAATTTTTTTTACAGTTCCTACTCACTCAGAAAAATAACATCTATAGAAATCTTCATTCAGTTAAAAAAAACCTCCCTAAACCTTTAGAATAAACATCTAAAAGGCTACAGACTGAAGGTTTCATCTTGCTATAGAGTTACCACACACAGAAATCAGAGAAAGAGAAGGTTTAACAAACAAATGCCTATTTGTCAAAAAACCAGGAAAGTCTTGCCAGCATTCTCTCAATTCCTTTCTCCAGAAAGGAACCACACTCTAAATGAATTAAATACACCAAAGTCATGTTCAGTACATACTTATGTACTGCAAGTAATACTATCAGTTTGAATCTCTGCTTACTAAAAGGTAAGCATCCATCCCAGGAATCGCAGCTACAGTAAAGGCTGACATTTCATTTGTTGTACATATTTATCTACTGTACAATGATGTTGACCAATGTGCCCCTTTAAGCACTATGTTGCTGGATACACAACAGAAGACCTAAGAAAAATCCCACTGGCTCCATACCCTATTTATTAGACTGTGTGAAAGCCATTTTACTTGGCAACATTTAAAAAAAAGCAGACATGCTTGCTTTGAAAATTGTTTTGCTGGACAGGATGCTGGCTGCCAAGGAAAAATCGGAGGGTTATTTATCTGTGTGTTTGTATGGATCTTAACAACACAACTCCATCACAGCTATACGATTCAAATGAAATGTGCTGGTTAGAAGTAATATCTGTTTATAGTGTACTAGCAGGCTAAGACATCTACAGTCCAACTACAGGCTCTCAAGATATAAATTTCAGAGGCTTTTATGCTGGTTAAAGAACAGTCATTCATTCCCTTAGTTCTTCAAAGGTACTTACCGTATAATTACTGATACAGACCAGAGACCAGAACTGGACTTTGTTCTGCAGTACTGAACTCGGCTACCGTATTGTTAGTTCAAAATATTCCCATAGCAATAGCAATTTTTGTATATTCCAGAGAACCAATTATTGCAGTGTAATTACCATAAACATAAACACACAACGGAAATATATTTATATACTTGCATAGCATACAATCCCAATCAATAAAACAACAGATATTTTCAGCATACAACTTTGCCAGAGATTACTTCTCAGGGTTAAAAAAAAAAAACCAAAACCAAAACCACAACACCTTTACTTCATTTTCAACACGTTTATAAACATTAAATTTAATTTAAAAATTAAGTACCCACCAAATGTCTGGAAGTAGGGTCATTTTTTCTCATTTTTGCGGTTCCCAGTATCTCAGTTGGAACATGCCAGTTCTATTAACGAAGGACTACGAGACATCTCAACAGGATGAACAGTTGGTCTTTCTTGTGTACCAGCCTCCTGATTTTTTTTCTGCGAAAGCAAATTAATTTTTAGCTAGTCAAACTCATCATGAATATAAACATGTACTTTTCACCTAAACACATAAGTTGGTCTGAACCTTTGCCTTAACACACTTCTAAATTGAATGACTCTTACCTCAACTTACAGAGGAAATAAACATGCCTTCCTTTCTACCTTCCACTGAAAGTATTCCACTGAACCAAAGATTTTCCAATTGCTGCTAACCTCTACTGTACTGTTTTATTTTAAGTACATAATTTATACTAGTCGCTGCCGTGACAAAACTTTGAGAAAGCTGAAATTACAGCTTAGAACTTGCTTTACCGTAAACCTGTGCAACTTCCCAAGACTTGATTCTATGCTAGAAGACGGGTAACAACATTAAAATACAGTTTTCAGGATCAGATGCCCAATGAATCCAGCACTTCTTGGCAAATTCTCGCTAAAGGCTACAAGTCTGTAGCTCTGAGGTGACACCACGTACTCAGGTGCTGGCTTTAAAAGCCTCAGTTCAGAGCCACCAGGTCTGAAATGCTTTTCAGTCACGGAAGTGCACCGAAACTGCAACTGTATTTCCTTCAATGCTTCACCCTTCCACTAGTCAATTCACTAGCACAAAGAATTAGGGAAAAAAGTCTAACTACCGCTGTATTTACTGCGGAGCACCACTCAGGAGTCACTGTCGCCCCTTTCGCAGCTTTTTGCGTTATAGGGAAGGTACAGGCTGACCAACTGAACTGCTCGTTGCCTCGCAAAGAGAAACACAAGAGGCCGAGCTCTGCCCCCCCCCCCACCCCCCTTCCTAAACAGGCCCCTCCAGGTGCTTCTCGAGAGGTTTCGGTTCTGCACGCCCCCACCCCTCCCACCCCCGCGACGGAGCCGGCGCTGCAACGAGCCCGGACCCGGGCCTCCACCGTGTGCCCCTCTAACCACAGCAGACGAAGACACAAAACAACCCTGACCTCGGGGAGGCGGGGAAGGGGGTGACCGCGGCACGCCGGCGGCAGGGAGCGGCACCCTTCCCCTCACGGGAGGCCAGGGGTCGCGGCCGGCGGGCCGCGCCAGCCCGCCCGGGGAGGTGTCGTTAACTCGGGGCCCGCGGCTATGCTCCTCGGGGCCGGGGCCGGGCTCACCTCGGCGGTTGCTACCGCCGCCGGCGGGACGGGGCACAGCCCGGCAGGAGCCACCGCCGGGGCTCGCCCGAGGGCCGCTGACGCCGCCTGATGACGCACGGGCACTACGTCACACGCCACCGCCTCCGCGAGCCCGAAAAGCGAAAAGACTCGCATTAAAAACCACCGACAACCCCCTCCCCGCGCCGTGGCGTGACGCGGCGGCCAGAAGGCAGAGACATGCCGGCCGGCGGAGAACCGGCCCCGGGTGCTGCTGGCCGCAGCCACCCGGAGACGCAGCGGCCGCGGTGACGGGGACCGCCCTTCGCGCCCCGAGATGGCGGGGGAGCGCTCCGCCGCCGGGAGGGCCGCGCTCCTCTCTGCCGGCCGGGAGACGGGGCGAGGAGGAGGAGGAGGAGGAGGCCCGGCCGATTTCGTGGCTCTCCTCCCGCCGGAGGTCAGCTCTCGGATTTTCAGCGACCTGGACATCGAGAGCTTGTGTCACGCGGCCGTGACGTGCAAGGGCTGGCACCTCGTCATCGAGAGCGATGACCGCTTATGGCGACACCACTGTTTGAGCATGAGGGCCGTCTGCCAGCGGGAGATCGACTGCGATCGGGGAAATGGATATTCCTGGAAGGTAAATTTAACGTCGGTGAGGTAATGTCGGCAGCGCTGAGGCTTCTGGGATCGGTAGTAGAACTATGTAAAGAAGTTCCATCAGCACTTCTCATCTGTCCCAGCTTTATGGGAGAACTGCTGTAAACTGCGTGGCTCAGTAGTGCACCCCAACAGCTGGACATCTGGTTAAATGCACAGAGAGATGAAAGCAACGCTGCCCTGTTTCCTACCCAGAACCACCTCTGGCTGGCTCAGCGTGCCCCGCTTACTCCTCACGCTGCCCCACATAGCCTCAGCCCTGACGTTCATCACGTCGAAGTCTGCACAGCCCTAACATAGAAGAAAGCCCACATCTCACTAGACAGGGCCAGGGGAGAAGACAACATATTCCCGCTAGGCAGCGTGTGCTCTCTGGTTGTATTTCATGGGAATAGTTCTGCTGGTGATGAAGGACTTCCCGGAAATTCATCCTAGGTAGCTCTGCCTCAATACACCTTGAGCGACGCGTATCCAGGAGAAAAAAAAAATGGGGTGGAGAAGAGGAAGCAAGCAGGAGCTTGGAGAAGCTGTTCAAACTCTCCCCATGCACACTCCCAGTTACAGCTGCTCTGAGGAGTTAGGAGCTGGACATGCTGGAACATCTATCACTGTCGAGTCCAGCCTGCAAACTGAGGGAGATCAGGAAAGGAGTGGTTTCACAGTTACTACTCTGGACCAGCTGGAGGGCGATCCCCACCTCATTTTAGCTGGTGTGTTTGAGAGCAGGGCTGTGGTGCAGCATTGAAAAGAGAAGCAGCAGCAAAAACAAACAGTTCTGGACTCTCACATTTCAGTAGAGGTGTTTCAGTATGAGGCAAAGCCTTGAGCAGGTAGTGGTTGCCCTTCAAACATACAGATCTTAGTCCTCTTGCACTGGAATTTCCAGAGCTCCCTGCACTGATTCTCTATTTTATCTGTATTTTGGAGAGGGGATTTGAAGCAGAAGCAACAATCACACCAAGTCAGCATTCTCTTGCACTAAAAGGTTGGCTTAACAGAAGAATCTAGCCAGCCTGCATTAAGAGCCCAAACAAGAGTTAAAGGTCATAAATAACCTAAAGAGGAAGAGAAAGTGAACCACACCTTTTTTAAGGAGTAAGGAGGAAGATTAATTCCTGGTTTAGGGTTTTGATCTTGACCCTCAAAGAATTGAGGCAAGAAGTGATTCTCCACCCAACTTAGAACAGAAAAGATGGAAGCAGACCAAGGTCTGCTTCTTGGCAGCAGTACATCTTCCTGGGCTTAGCATCTAGATATCCAAAGACATGTTCCAAATCTTTTTTCTAGCATTACCTTTCCAATGCAAAACTTACTTGTATTGAATGGAACCTAAATCAGTTCATTTCCAAGATTTGAGCTGTCTGTTTTTCCATCAGATCACATTACTGAGAAACTACTGGAAAAGCAAAGTGAAGCAAGAATGGCTGAGCGGGAAATACAGCAACATTCCTTCACAAAACAGCTTGCCAGAGAAAAGCATGTATCCAATGGATGCTGACACATGGGGAGAAATCCTGGAAGCAGAACTTGAGAGATGAGAAACCAGTGCGGGTTCTTGCAACTCAAGAACCTTCTATCAACAACTCACAGACTGCCAAACTGTAAATACTTTGCCCTTCAAAAATCAGTTGTGTTTGCAAACATGTGATGAAAGCTTCTCAAAAAAAAAAAGTTAGGTCTATCTTTTTTTTTATTTGCACTTCATTGTATTAATTTTCTGTAAAATTCTAAATAAGACTAAATATTTAGTTGTAATTTTATATTTGCAAATTTAATGTCCTGCTGTATTGTCAAAAAGATGTCGATAGTACTTTCAACTTGCACTTTTTATTTTGGAAGAGATGACTTTAAAAAAAAAAAGTGTGTTTGACTTAAGTGTATCACATCAGCAGCACAACAGGAGAGCTCACAAAGGAAGGCTGGGGAAGGGACAAATCCAGACATTGGAAAGAAAAGAGGACAAGGCAGCCACCTCAAGATCAGCTGAACATCGCCAGTGCCCATCTCAAGGGACAGAGCCCTCTCAGGGATCTTTTCTGAAGCTGCACCCGTGGAGGTATTAGTGCTCGGCAGCGCTGCATTTCCACTGCCTGGCTGTGGGATTTCTGGATTAGGACCCACAGATCCAGGCACCAGGCAGGACTGAAGCAGCCACGTAACTTAACAGCCTCTCTGCCATCAGCTATGCATTTTAGTAATTTGCATGATGAGGAGTAGAGCAAAATTTACCACTTTAAACAAAGTAACTCAGATAACACAAAAGATAACACAACTTCATATATTTTTATAGCCAGGCTAAAACACATGCAGAAACTCAGTTTTTTCCTACATGATGATCTCCCATCACACAGTCCCTGCTTTACCAGCACCAGTTTTTGGCACTGACTTTAAAAACTGCTGCTAACGAAAGAGGAGATGCCTGTCTCATTGCCTAAAATGAAAGTGACCACAAATTCAATTTATTACAATTCCATTTGAATATCACCTTTCCCTACCTACTTTGCACTAAACAGTAAAGTAAGTGGGAAAGCCCTGGGAAGTTCCCAATTGCTTGAGGTATTCCTACAAAATTCAGTCACTAATCTGGGACCAATTTTCTATAGAAAGACTTGTATCATGCTTATGAAACTTAGTTAATATGAAGTGATTTCAAATCAACTACTGCGGACTTTGGCAGAGGGCCTTCTGGCAACAGCGTAAGAACAGAGGTGTTCTGTCATGAACATGAGGTTCAATGGCACTAGATCAGGCCCCTGTTAGAGTCAGAGTTTACTGACATTAGGTCCCGCCCACTAGATGGAGCAGTAGAGCAGTTCTGCTCTGAAAATACAGACCATGGTCCTCCGGGCTAAGATCCAGTACCGTTTTTTGTTCGATGGTGCTGGTTGTTAAACAAACCATTAGTTTAAAGTTGCTTCCAACTTATGCATTTTTATTTTCTCACAATTATTTAACCATTGCAGAATATCTAGTGAAACTATTTAGTTTACTCCCCTTTACTGCAAGTGCCTAGGCTCACAGGCTGTTTATTGTAGGTGCCCCTATCTACAGGTCAAGGAAGAAACAGAACAGCCAGATAAAACTGGTAGTTCGAAAATGCTTCCAAGAACAGTATGTTACCTGATCCCTTTTCTAGTTTGGAGCATTCAACAGATTTCATCAAAACTGATCTACTTCCCTTGGCCTCCTACATTTTTCCCATTAGAACAGTTTTCAGTTCTTAAGCACCAGTAGCTTTTCTAAACCATGAGTAGCATATCTAATCGAGACAGCTTTCTCATCAATTACATTGTGTGACTGGATAATGTTTCTTATACATCTTTTGCAATTTAGTCCTTATAGATGAGTGTTAGTCCCAGGATCAGGACCCCGTTGCACTAGGTTTTATAAAGATGCATAACACCTGCCTTTACTGCCAAAAGAGATGACTACTACATTAGCCTAAATGCATGCAGTACCCAAAATTCACTGAAGCTTCTGCTATCACCCTGCTGCCAAACATGGCTGAAGTGTAACTCGGAGTAAAGAGCATTGCTAAGTATAGTGGGTGCAGCACACAGCTCAATGAATTGCAAACACTGCTTCCTTTATATTAGCTATTCTGCTCTAAGATTATATCTAGTTAGTTCAAATTAAAAAAAAAAAAAGAAACAAAAAACCCCACACACCCAAGCGCAACAGTTTTTCCACTGAAGGTGCTGCCTCACTCCCTGCTCACAGTGTTTTACCCTGACTTTCAGAGAGCTAGAAGTGAAAAAAAGTGCATATAAATTAATAATGAAGAAAATAATACTAGCAGTACATTCTCATCACTTCAGGAGTGCCCAATTTATTAATCATAAGACAGGAAAAGTGCACAGTAATGGATCTAGGCCCTCACCCTTCTCCTCACCCAGCCTCCTCCTGTTACCTACAGTCTCTGTAACTCCCAGACATTTATCCCCTCTTTCTGGTCCTTTCCTGCTCCTCAGCTGTCAGTTCTCATGTATTTGTTTCAGGATACAATTTTTAAATAGAATAATTCTGGTATAAATCCTGACACAGGGTTGTTTCACCGTGCACTTAGCTGTAGCTTTTCCCCATTCTCTTATGAGCGTAGGAATCGCCAGCATCTGTCATACCTCTACCTCTGTCCAGATCAGGTGGCTGTGCCTCTTTAAACACACAAGGAATTAACACTCAGCTATGTAATTAGACAAGGCCTGGATCTTTAAACCTGGAGTAGCAGTGGTATAAGTTTCTCATGAAAAATCTACTACTGAAAGAAAAAAACAAGCATTTAAGTACAAGTTCTCATGAACACAAAGCTTGCTTCCCCTCTGACTCTGAGCCCCTCCTTTAAGGATTTTAAGTCCTCCTGGAGGTTCCATTATATCAGTTCTGGTCTTCTGTTTTACCCATCTCTGCCTCTGCACCACCCACGCAGCCTCTCAGCTCCACTGCAAGCTGGATGTGCTCTCTTCCCTTTAAAGACACCCCAGCAGCATCCATCGGTCCAAACAGTGGCACTTCCTAAACTAGCTGGTTTGGGCTCATCTCTTTCCCCTCCTACCTGCAAACAAAAACTACTGAAATGCCAGAAACAGGAGGATCATACTGGTGCCTGAATTAGCGCTAATGCATAGGTATCCTTCCCCAGAGAGCATCCTCAGCAGCTAAGGTCACACATGTAAAGCCCACCTACCAGCTCAGGACATGCACCAGCTATCCTCACACTTAGGTGGCTGGTGAAACCCTTTTTCTGCTCCAGTGCTCAGTGCTCTCGCCCGTACGTTTTTGAGGAAGTGGAAAGTTCTACTTTAGCAAACCCCACCGACCTTCCCACTGCATTCACACACCAATTCTACCCTCCTACTCAGAAGATGTCAGCTGCAGAAAGGTGCCCGAGTTACCCATTGCCCAGGCATCGCATTACCCACATGGCCTTCCTGCCACTTGCCTTCCTGCCCGCTCAGCCTTCCTAAGACAGGCCTTTTGAGAGAGCACATGAAGCTTGTGTGGTGCAGAGCAAATAGGATGTCCTCTGCCCACACACTCCAACTATGCAACATGGACTCAAACCAGCCAGGCTTCTGGGATCAAAAAGAGTTGCCCTGCTGCACAAAATGTCCTGAGCTGCTGCACAAAGCTAGACATCAAAATGCTGGCACTGAAGCTCAACCTGAGGTCCATATTTTATTTCTGCATTTCCAAAACTGCCTGTGGTGTTAGCACCTTCCTTGCAACTACTTAGTATTGCAGTGCTTCATTTTTGAAGGGAGGAGCTGACAGTGTGGCTTTATTTCATCATAGTGCAGGATGTGGCTTTGGGCCATTGCCATTAACAGTCAGACTAAACAAAAACTAACGCACAAAATGTTTAATCACCACAGATTTTTCTTCATTAGACCACTCAAATTTCAAAGCTAATTTTGTCAAGAAGTGTTTCTGCCAATAGGCAGGCACTAATTTTTCGTGTCTCTATCCTGGTCATCTCTGGAAGGTACCAAGTAACAGTTATCCCAAAGGAAGACAGAACAGTTGGGCTCAGGACTGGGATCAGCTGCTTCAGCCACCAGAGCTGACAGAAAGGTAATAAAGGCATACAGATGAGAGAATTTGGGTGGTGGTGGTGTTATTTTTTTATTTTCTCTCCAAATGAACTTGGGTAGAGGCGTATCAGATTCCCAAGAGCATCCTGACGCTTTGTGGTTGTTTTTCAGCATATTGCTTGTTCAGAAAAGTCTGTCCCCAAAACCATGGAAGAAATCACCTGCTGCATTTAACACTGTGAGTCAGCAACGGCTTCTGATCAGCACACCACCACTAAGAATTGGGGGTTGGTGGTGTGCTGCTTTTTTTCAGGCCTCAGTGCTAAGGGCTAGACCCATTTCTACTATTCTGGTAAACCAAAAAAACCCAAGCTACAACTGTGAGTAGAAGGGAGACAAGAAGAGAGGTGATGGACAGCAAACTCAAGAGGTCCCACGGGACCTGCCAAGACGAAACCCGAAAGGACAATTCTATGTACTGGCACAGTTACCAGCAGTGTCCCCCCCCACCCCCAACTCCTCAGAATTGTCCTGTCCAACATTGCCACCCACGTCCAGCAAACATGGATTTACAAAGCTGGGGGTGGGGGGGTGGGGGTGTAAAAATCAGACTGCTAGAGCATGCAAATTAGGTACAACATTAACTTTTTTGATCCACATTTTAAAATATTGTTGGAATGCCACGTGCTGGTTTTAATGCATGGTCCTTAAAAATCTTAACAGGAAAAGGAGCTGCTGCTTGCCAATACAGGAATGTTGACTGCATAGGCTGTTTTGTTGCTGAGATACCAAACACTTGAAGCTCTACACAAAGACTTCTCCAGATGCCACAAGACACCGTTGGCCATGAGATAATGTATTAACCATAACACTAAATATTGCTTTTAAACATCTGTGATCTCAGAACACCAAACACAAAAGGCCACAAAATGCTACCAGCTACCTATTGGGAGATTCAACTTGAAGGCTGAAATGAAGGTATATGTTGAGTAAGTTGGGAACAGAGGGAAACAAAGCAAACAAACCAGCCACCTTAAGCCTTTAATCCTAACAGGGGAAAAAAGATAAGTTGAGAAAGGCAAAATATTTTTTGCAGCAGCAGTATCATACAGGTAATAAATGAAATATGACAATACCCCATAAGAACTTTATTCATCTGTTCAATTGAGGGAATATTTTCAATAGCTTCCGCTATTTTTCCATCACAATGCTAAAGACAAGAGTACTGTACCAATTTAGCCAGGAGATCCCAACGCCTAGGTTTTACAAGATAAAGTATATAGCCATTTGACAGTATAGCCAATAACAGAAATGTGCCTCAAGTTTCATCTAGTGTGGCTGACCAAACTAATCAGCTTTTCCAATGCACCTTTGTTTTTGAACATCACTAGTCTGTAGACAATTTTATCACTAAATTATACTGCTCTTTAAAGTCATTCTAACATGCAACTCTTATCAACAGATGCACTTAGAGATAATAACACTGGCAGCTCCTCAAATGCTTAAATAGGGAGACTATAATGGCACTCAATACCCATAAAGTAACTAAACATCTATATGCAGCATGATGGTATGAGGAGATGAGAGGAAGTTTTTGCTGTTCTAGAGGGGTAACTACGGACCACATGGTATGTTGTAGCACATCTAAAATGCCATTAGGCATTTATGTTTATGTATCCAAGTTCCACTCTATGATGCCTACAAAGCAGAGGCACAAGCTCTCTTTTTAGATTAGGAAGTTTAGGTCAAAATAGCTTTAAGAAGAAGGAGGTGGGGTTGGGGGAAGAGGAGAAAGAGGAAATTGGAGATGTAACTTGGGACAAAAGGCCTTCCTTTAAGTAAAAATATTAAGTTAAAAAAAAAAAGAAAAAACTAACCTTACTTTACCAGTCACATACCAGAAAGATGAAATATTTCCTTTTATTAATCAGAAAACTGCATAGGAGTGCTAAAAATCTGATACAAACAACTCTCCCTATTATTAAAAAATGTCTCACACATGCGTGTTGATTTTGTTACTGTACTTTCACCATCACATACAAGGGAGACACACAGCAACTTAAGCCTTCAAAGCAGGACACCTACATACACAGATAACAGAAGCAATAAAGGACAAAAGAGATAGTTTCTTGTTTTTATATACTTTTGTGCTTAAGAAAGGATTTTCAGGCTTTTCCTTATGGTGTGGACATAGGTACATGAAAAGACTGATTATACATTGATTTGTATAATGGATACTCCATCAGTCTGCAACAGGTTGTTCTAGTATATTTGATAAAGAGAAAGGGGCTAATGGCAACACTCTAAGAAGAAAGTTCTCAATGTCCTTTTAACATCTGCGTTTGAGGACATGGGAAGATTGGGGTGTCTAGTTTTGGATTTTTTGTCTCTTTTTTTTTTTTTAATTAAACTAGTTGATCCCCAGTTCCTTCTCCTCTCCCTTGATCACTCTGGTTTATTAATATTCAAGATTTTGGTGAAAGACATACTGAAGGCAAATTTTAAAAAATTATTAATGTAATTTCCCTCTCTTTCAACTGCTGGAAGCAAAAATCCATCAGTTTCATCAGCATTTGCCTTCAATTCCTGTCCTCTCCCCTTCTCAGTCATCTTTTAGTGGGATGAAGAAAGAAAGGGTAATGTGTTGCCATTTTAAAAAAGGCAGAGTCTATGCAGGGAAGGTGAAGAGTTTCACTATACCACATTACACTTACAATGGAAGTCCAATGAAGTATGAAAAGCGGCATTTTCCTCAGCTTTCACACACAGTTTTATTCTCCCTTCAACCAAACAGAAAGAAAAAAAAAAGCAATCTACAAGAACCAGAAACAGTGTGGAAAACCACAGTTTTGGTTCTAAATGCAAAGCAGGAAGCCCTATATTCTAATCCAGGAAAAAAAAAAAAACCAACAAACTTATTTTGAAGCCAAATGAGAAGCTCTATTTCAAGAAGTCTCACAAGTAATAACAAAAGAAGAACCTTGTTTTCAGTCAGAGATTTTTGAAGGGTGTTTTTTGTTTGCTTGGCTTGCAGATCACCAACCTACCATTTTAAGAGGTAAAGCAGTTCCTAAAATACCTTCAAAAGGTGATGAAGTAACCACATTCAAATTATTCTTCATGCATCAGATTCAAACTTCATTTATATCACCATCCCATATAACAAAAACAACTCACAGACACAGATGGCAGCTCCCTGCCACATTCATTTTTCACATCAGCCAGGACTAAGTCTCATTCTCATACTGAAGCGACTTCTGCAGAGCTCACAAAACACACTCTCCTCTTTCAGGCTCTAATCCAGCAACTGCTGAAGCCAGATGGGAGCACTGCAAAGGCTCCACATTGCAACAAGGCTCCCTTGAGCAGCTGAGCCATGTACCTCCATATGCAGTGTTTACGGGATTATAAGAAAAAGTAACACCTGTGGCTGAAAGCTTGTTGGGCCACTGCAGTCCTCATGGATGTTATTTTTTCAGTGTATGTGCGTGTGGTTTGCTTTGTCCTGTTTTCTTTTAAACCATGGAAGAAGGAGCTCCATGTCTACATGGATGTTTTTATGGGTGCATGGTTAATAAACATTCCTGAAAACCTGACTGCAGTAAGCACACAGGCAGTGTTCCAGGGGAGGGAAAACTGCTCAATGTAAGATGTGGCAAGTCAAACACAAACCTAAGAGGATCTTTATAGTAGATTATATCATACAAGTCTTATGGTAATTGAAGATTATAAATATAGTCCTGATCTACAATGGTTTATTTTGCTGTCCTTTAGTCTATGAAAAAAGACTAATTCATGTTATAAGGAAAAAAGGAACTGATGCTGATGTAGTAATTGCTGAGTGTATAGAAGAAGTGTGATTTAAATAGTTAGAGGGTGAAAACAGATGGAGAAAGCATGGCACATGAAGGTCTGCTCTTCTATTTTTCCTCTTGCAATTAGTAGTTCCTTGTCCTAGGCCTGCTCTCTCTTCTCTTGTGCTAGTATTCAGGATACATGCCTCTTCCCTTCCATGCCTTCTGAGTAACTAGGCTGGCCTCATAATCTATGATAGATTTGTAGCTGCTTTTTAATACAGAATTCCCTTAGACAAGATCTATTTAGTATCTCTAGAAATTGTAATGATACAAAACTAACCTTCTTATTTTCTCATATACAGACATCTGTTACAATAGTCCTCGCCACCTTGTCTCAACTCTAGTAGCTCTGTCCTTAGTGATTTTCCTGCCTAAGTTCAAGGGTTATGACAATTGTCATCATCTCACACACAGTTCCTATGGTCAGACTGCTGTGGCATTCAGGTACCTACTTTGATTTTCAAAAGGACTGCCATGAGTTAGGAAACCAAATGTCTGTGAAAACTAGCCCCATAATAACCCTGGTCCTCAATTCATCGCTTGTGAAGAGCTTATCAGAGAGAAAGGTCTGCGAAATGTATTGTTTTTCTTGCCAGGCCTTGTCTGAAAATGGACTAGAGCACATTCACCCTGGAACGCAGAGCTAATTATTGATGTCAAGAAACGCATGAGAACCTGACTAAAAGGAAGAAGAGTTTGGAGTCACTCCCAGTACCAGTCTCAGGCAAATGAAAGCATTTATAGCAGGAAATGTAGGTAGGGTGGCATCAGATATACTCTTCCAATCTTCCCGTTTCCACCAAGAAGTAGAGACACCTACAAACCCTTGTGATCTATCTTCAGAAGAACTACCTATAAGGTTAGAGACCCTATTGATACAGTCAAACAGGTACAAACATCAGAGCTCTTCCACAAATACACTGACTAGCACCATATACCAGAGAAAATACTGTTCATAGGTGGGCAGCTGTACGCTTGACTGGGCACAGGGAAAAATAACAAGGTCAAAGACTGGTAAAACTTTTTAGTTTTATTAAAAATTGGCAGTTGCACCCCTCCTTTGCTAAGCTGGGCAAGTTTCTGTTGTTTGGTTCTGTGGGGTGGTTTTCTATTTTCCTGTGCCATAGGGTATTTTTGGGTTAGTGAGGTCTGAAGGCAAAAATAAGCAGCAACCACAAAGCAATTACCAAGAAAGCAGGCTGAGCAAACAGGTATCTTTTTGCCATGAATCTTCCTTCCTCAGAATGATAGACCAGGCTTCAGTGATCCTGTCAGCTTGCGTGAGATACAGGAAATGTCTGCCAGAAGCCGATTTCCTCTGGATGTCTTAAATAGGCATGACGATGCAGTGTCTGCCAGCCTGTTGTCCCTGCAAGGCTGTGTTTTCTTTATGATAAGCAATACTAAGGCAAAAGACCTTCATGTTCATTAGCTCAGATATAGGTATAATTAAGCAGAATTGAAAAGAAGCTTTAGTTCCAGATTTTTTTTAGACTGAAGAGATCCGAATAAGAATTCTTAAGGATAAGGTACCTTATTAGATCTACAAACAGAGTTCTAAAAGTTTTGAAGTTTACTAGCACTCAGAAACATCAGTCTCCATCCAGAACACTCTACATGCAGAATCTGACATTAACTTGACTTTCAACTCCTGCTTAAAGTTTAACACTTAGAAGTTTGATACATACAGTCAGCCAAAAATATGATTGATCAGGTAAACTGATCCTGTCAAATAGTAATGTTTATTTCAGTTACAGCAAGCATAAGGTTTCTCTTATATTAGTAAGGCATAGAACCAAGGACTGAGTATATTGCTGGAGGTTAAAAAAGAAAAACCTAAACAAAACCACTTCAAAGCACTAGTTCAAGTAAGTAACCCATGGATCCTTTCCCTTCTCCTGTAAGATTCTTAATTAAAATACAGGTCAAATCAGCAATGTATGACACCCTAGCAACTGCTTTGGAGACCTAAATGAAGGGAAACAATGGTCCTAGAGCAGATTCTTGTGGAGAAATTTAGCAAAGGTCAAAATCAGGTGATAAAGAAGTTGAACTGAGATTGCTTTGTGTTTGAAATACTGTGGGAAGAGACTTTTCCTAATACCACTGTCACTGAGTTGTACTTGCTTTCCACGTGGTGTTTCCATAGCTGTCTGCATTCTTCCCTTCCTTAACACTGAAGTATTATAAAGGAGTGGATCAGGTTTCCAAGTTACTTGATTTCTTTCCTTAAATCTGTGGCATTACTTGTATAGGCGAACAAGCAGTAAAAAGATCTGGTAAAGAAGAAAGTGTAAAGTTTGTCTTGGGAAGACTTTGAAGTATCTGAAGATACTGAAACACAACACAGGCTGAATGGTAAGTGACGGGTTGAGCTCCTCACTTGTAGTCAGTGACATGACCCTGTCCTCTGTTAATGGTGAAATTCTATCAGCTGTGGCAGCAGGGAAAGGTGTAAGGTACAAACCTTCCCAAGGTAGACCAATTACTCTAAGCAGCACACACTAATATGGCATTTTCTGTGCTATAATTTAGTAAAATATTACCATAACACAAGTGGAAGAATGTTAGTTTGTTAGTGCCCACTATAGTATTGAAACTTACTACGCACCCTCACCCCCAACCTAGAAGCCTTAGGACATCTTTCTGGATGATCCTGTTTTCTCTCAGTGAAATGCTAAAATTTCTGTTCTGAGTAACGAATTTCAGTTGTCTGTCTTCTTGCTGGCAGATCATCTTCATTTTCCAGTCCTAGCAACTGCCTGAATTGCTTTGATCCACTCTGTACGCTCTGCAGATGAAGCTGCTTGCAAGTAATAGTGGGTTTCATTTGCTGTGATGATTTCAAAGAGGATGTTGTCAACATCATACTTCTTGGCTACAGCGAAGAAATAAGGAAGTCATCTCTGAGAGAATAAAAACTTGTATTTACAATGTTTCTTTGTTTACACACTATAAGGGGATTTCCTTCCTTTCTACAGCTGTGCCTGATCAGGCCTTTGCAAACAGATTGCAAGATTAGGTCCAGGAGAAAGGTCTCTCTCTTGGAGAAACAACCCATGAATTCTGCACATTTCACCTTCAGGAGTCTCTGGTTAATTGATCTCCAATAATGGAAGGATCTGCAATCCTGCAGACAGGTCATATTCCCCAAACCCTCCCGTGCCTTGTCAGCTACAAAACCAAGACATTTAAGTTTATGTCACGTCCAGAATCTCTGGTTCTTTTCATATCTGCCAGCACAGCCTGCACAAATGCTGAGATGCCAACAGACTTTCTTGCTGGGTATGATAGTCTGCCTCTCCCGTGGAGAGGAGAATGCATGGAATGAGTGTTTCTTGTTCCTTGCAGCAACACTTAACCATTGCTGTTCCCACAACTTCTAGTTTTGGGAGGGAACAGAATGTGAACAGTAATAATTTGTTGGCATAACCATTTCTAACATAAAGCTTCCATCCCAAATTCATCAACTAAAAAGAGCAAACTCAGCTTACTCTGTCTAAGGCCAGTTATCCTAACATAGGGGTGGTGTCATCCTTTTGACAAGTCTTCCCTAAACACCTGACAAAACACAAGATTCCCTGTTGCTACCTTTGCCACAGTATCCTTCTCCAGCAATAGAGAGACTAGTTACTGGAAGAATTACTGAATCATTGCACATAGATTGCTTTTGAATAAAAACAACTTGTGATTTCAGGCAGATTGAAAGAATGTACCAAAAACTTATTACACAGCTCATTCAATATGGCTCCTTACAGTCTGGCATATCTTCCACTGCTGTCACCACGCAGCCTCTCAAGTGAATTGCTCCTAGTGGTTCTTCTCCCTGGTGAGGACATGAAATCAAAATGAAATACAATACTTCTGAAACTATTCACATGTTAATATCTGCTACAGCTCCAGAATGGAAAGAAAAACATTTGCTGACTTAGTATGTCACCTGGGAAACCAGGGGATCCTCAGTCTGTGTGTGACATGGAAGGTGGCGTGTGTGGCAGGCGGAAGACATGCAAATAAATAGGAAATCTCTTTTGGGGATTTGGAATTCAGTATCTGCAGAGTATTTAGCATGTCCTGAAGAAAGGCACAAGAATATAAGCCTTGTGCCAACTATAATTTTTCCTTTGATGTCACAGTGAATAGAAACAAAAGATTAGTTAGAAAGAGTAGATCTTAGAAGCAGTCTTACCAAGCAGCAGGAGCAGCTATACCCTTATTTACAATTTGGCCTCTTGTGCACTTCAGTACTGTGATAGTCAAAGAAGGGGTGAAGATGCATTTTTGTTGGCATAAGCCTGAAAGAAGCAGTCCCTATAAGCTGACACAGCTCAGCCTTTGGGAAGGGAAGGCAGGAGTGGGAATGGCAAGCTGGGAATAGGGAGGTCAAAAACTCCTCAGTGTTGCTTCTCCAGTGTGTCTAGGCTGCCCCTGCCAAGGGGCACAGGCACGGCTTAAAGCACCTGTAACCCACAACACAACGGCACTGCCTCTGCAGCAATGCAGGATGAAATAAAACCTGTGGGCTCAATCTACCTGAATGCCAGCTTTTGTGGGGCAGGTTTTGTCAGTGACAATGCCCTTTCCTTTCTTAGGGCAGGGTTTGGCCTGTTAGAATGACACAAGAAATGGAACACCATGTGTCAGCCTGACACAGAAAATACCTCAATTATAAACTGCAAAATTACTGTATTATGTTCATTTGAGGTTATGACCTAGTTCATTTTAATCAAGTGAGAGCACACATTAATTCTAATTAATCACAGATTAGAGGTGAGAGCACAGTTCAGTGCTGCCTGTTCCCACGTCTGAATTGGCAACCCCAGAAACCATCCTCCCCTCTGCTTTTCCAGAAGGTGGCCAGGCAGCACAATCAAACAGCCCCACTGTCCTGCTTGGTCTTCCTCATCACACATTCCCATGCAAATACTCCATTCAAATATTTCTGCAGGAAGGCAGCTTTAAAACAAACAGGGGAATAAACCAAAGTTGGCCAAATGTCTCTTACTCCAGCAGGATCATAGTAGTGAAGATAAGCAGGGTCCTCTCTTAAAACAAACTTTCTCACTTTCCAGTTCTTCCTCCGATGTCCCTAGGAAAATTAAAAAACCAGGAATGTTATGAACTGCTTTGCCTGCAGGTGCTCACAGTCAGCTTACCCACACATGAGAGAACATACAAATACAAAAGGGAAAAAGATTTCTGTTTTGGACAGGAAATATTCACTGGAGTAGAACTTGAATCTGGGCTTTCTGCATCCCACTGTTTTGCACAACTGGGCTACCACACTGTTTTCTCTTTTTATTTTTGTACAAAGTAGAACAGCTTCAACATGGGAGATTCCCCTAAACACATCTCATAGTCTAGTAGCTACGACATTCACACGAGGTCTGTGAGAACTGGGCTTAAATGTTTGCCAGAAAACATGGCTGCAAAATGTCTTGCAGGAAGGTACCTTTAACTATTGGCAAGAATGGCCTGAAGGTTCTTCTCTCCCTGCAAAGACAACAACAACAACAACAACAACAGGCTTATCTGGCTCAACCACCCTGGAGAGGATTTGTGGCTGAGAATCTCAAGCAGAAATAACACCACCTTCTGATACGGATATAGATGCCTGTCCTGGTTTCGGTTGGGACAGAGTTAATTTTCTTTCTAGTAGCTGGTATAGTGTTATGTCTTG